CGGGGGTCTCTGTTGGGTGGTCTTGGGGCTTTCACCGCCTGTGGGGGCCAAGCCTGAGGCAGCGCCCGCCCCCGGGGCTGAGCCGTGCCTTGCCCTGCTCCCGGCTGACCCCGCGGAGGGCCCCTGGTGGTTCATTTGGGCCTGGGGCTCCTGTCGTCGCCCCTCACTCAGCACCGGGGTTGGGCCTGGGGCCTGGGGGCGCTGTCCTGGCTGCTTTTCCAAGTCGGGTTTAACCAGGCTTCGTTCCCTCTTTCATGGTAGGTGCGTTTGCAGCCTGTCCACTGACTCAAAGAGCGCTGCCCGCGCTCTTCGCTGCCCCCGGCGTGGTACGTGCCTTTTCCCTGATTTTTCTGTCAAAATCATCCCCATTTCAGCCACGAGGAGCCGCACGGAATAGAAGAGGGCATGGCTACGGGGCCGTTTTTCCTTGGTTGCTGTCTTGGCGCAGCAAAGAGCCTCGAGGATGGAGGTGCAGAATGTCACGAACTCCTGCTGGGTGCGTGATGCCAAAATCCCGATGAAGCACCAGCGCGTTTGCTGGAGCAGCCTCACCAAACCAACCCGACTCGCTCTGTAGTCAAAGCCAATTTGGCAGTTGACTTCAGATTGTCTTTAAATGCAGTGTGGAAACAAAAGAGACACTGAAGGCCTCTTAAAATGGTAATTTCTTCCCCCCTCCCCATTCCCACTCCATTCTAAACCGGGATTCTGGCTGACGGCAATGTAGCAATGCACATTTTAAAGCAGCTTTATCGTCTTCAGATTTGCCTACGGATGGCATCCAGCAACCGAGAGGCGGGCACATAATTTCTTTTCTTCATAATGTTTTTCCATGGGACTCGGCTGTATGTCTGTTGTAGCCAGTAGCCAGACTGCGCATCAGCTAGATAAATGATACGGGTGGAGATCTTTAAGTGGAGCAGGCCAGGAATAACATTTTTAAATGCAGCCCCAGGCAGGCAAAGGATGATTCCAGACTTGATTTTTATGATTGTAATCTTCTTGGAAGACGGACCGTGTGTTTTATTTTAGCAAGTGCAATATTGCTGCAACGCAGATAAACAAAAGAGCTAACGCTGATGTTTTTACAAGCATGATTGCATTTTGTCTTGAGTTGATCTTTCTGGGATGCACACGATGCCCAAATGCGGGCTGCTTTCTGTCACATGAGTTGTGTGAACGCTCGTGTAAGAGAAAAAGGCTTATTCCTGTGGGGTGATGGTTTATTGGAAATCTCATTATACACCTTGCTAAGACGAACTGCTGCACCACAAAAATTCCAAATGCTGGTAGTTTATCCTTTTTTATTTCCCTGTGGAGTATCGTGGACTATCAACCGCATTTATTGAAGTCCTACTGAAATGCAAGAGTAAGCAATCAACAGACGCTTACTGGGGTTGCATAATGTCATATATTGTAAAGCTACACAACTCTGCTTCTGTATTGCAGGCTCCTGCTGTGAGAGGGTCCTTGAAAATCCCACAGCCTCTCCGTGCCCTTTCCTTGTAGTGATCCATCATTGAGTGCAAACCGTATGTGCTTCCTTTTCCTGCCAGGCCCAGTATTGTCCATCAGAGGAAGGGATATGCAGAAAACAGAGGAAGTGCTCTCAATCCCTTAGGAAAGGTTTGCATTGAATTGAAGCACAGGCCAGGCAGTAGTCATAAGGACGCTGAGAGTTTTGGTGGCCTTTCTCCTTATATTAGTGTCTTTAGTCCAGCATTAATCCATCCTGAATGCTCTACGCTGAGGTATCTGCTAATTGCCTGGTCTGTAGCAAGCGGAAGGTTTAAACTTGTCTGCTTGGGAACCGGGTCTAAGCCTGAGCCCAAATGAAAGTTTGAATGTGATTTTTGCTGCTAAAGAGTGAGTCTGTGGTTTACAGCCAGAGCAGAAATTGTTTGTCTTCGATGCCAGACAGTAAGACAAACTCTTATCTGAAGTGTAGTGTACGAACTGGGAACTTTTTCGCTGATTAGAAGTGGCTTTGGGTGAAGCCCGAGGAAACCAAAAAGAGCACTACATATAATTCTGTCACAAGCCACCAAGAATTCCTGGCTAGCCAGCGGGCAAAGCAAGGAACCGCCCTCAGCAAGATAAATCACTTTTGTAAGAGCTCATGTTACGACTTACTCAAGACAGCGGGTTGGGAGTTGAAGGTCGTTCTGGGGTGCCTGCACAGCCCTGTTCCCCGTAAGAGCACAGCCCACGGGACACCAAAACTGGCTCCTGGTTTCATCCCCAGATCATCTTATTTCCTGCGTCTTCTCTCTTCCTGCAAATTCTCCTCATGCATGTTTGAGATGAACAGCTGGGGAAGATTTCTTGTCGGAGTAATCAGTAAACAATAACTGAGAGTGCAGTTATTTTCCTCTTTTTGTATTTTCAGAACATGCGGAGGCTGTTACTGAATGTCTTGGTCAGGAGAGGGGAGAGGGTCCATTTCTTCAACACTGAACACATCTATTTCAGTTCTCACCTGCTATCTGGAGGGTCTGAATTCTGGTACTTGGATTTCCTCAATCCTGTTTAACCAAGGAGCCTGGCTGAAGTGTTTCTTTTCCTTTAAACAGCCTGTCAGCGCAAACGTAGCCAAATCCACCAAGATAATTTCTTCTTCGTGTGAGTTTTACTCAATTCAACATGGAATGTCCAGAAGCGTATAAAAATTAACTGAAATCATTTCATGTGAGGTGGATAACTGAGTCCTGTGTGGAAGGAGCTATTTCACTTTTTTATCCATCCACAGAGTCAGCAGGAGATGAGAATCTCTACCACTGATATAAGAGGGGGAGCTTTGTTTTAGGAGGCTGCTGCCTAAAAGGCCACTTGCATTACCCAGATCTATCTCATGCCTGATGCTCCCAGCCCACAGGACTCCTCCACAGGGACCTTTTCAGAGCTTTTGTCTACCACATTTAAGAAGTTCTCCAGTTCCTTGAGGAGGCTGTTCAACACTTGTCATTAAATGGGCAGAAGTTTTTAAATGTTTGGCATTTTTAGACCTCCTCAATGTGGCTTAAATCTTAGCACTTCTGCCAGAAATTCAGCCTGGAAATTTTTAAGTCTTCTACCAAAATGACTTGCAAAGCCATAAATGAACCTGCTGCTCTCTTGGTTTCACTGGGTATGAGGTACTGGGGTGGGCATTCTTCCCTGATGTGGGTTCCACCCCAAAGCCAGCTCTCCTCCCTTTTTAAGACTGCATGCTGTCCTGGGACAAGATGCTGAGAGAAAAGCATACTTGTGTCTATCGATGTATGTAAAACCTGACAGATCAACTCTGCTGTTTTGACTTTCACCCCGGAGGAGCTGGCTCCATTTGTGCTACTCACCGCTCCCTCCTTGCATTTCCTCCGCTCTATCCCACCTCTCACAAAGTTTCCACCACTCATCATCCCCTACCTCTCCCCACATGCCCTTCCTGGCTGCTCTCTTCCAAAACCTTGCTCCCCATTGCCAAACAAAACCGCCCATTCTGACCTGCCCAACATCACCCTCTCCCATTCCTCTTGCCCCCACTCAGCTTCAGTGAAGTTTTTTGATCCTGCAGCTCCACCCAAAACTCCCTCGTCTCTTTTTCTGCAGTGAGTGACAGGAGGAAGAGCGTTGCGTGCCGCCTGCGCCGTTATACGGAAGGGAAAGATAAATATTGCTATTGCATGTTCACTCAACTACTTCTGTGCACACGGGTTATTTCCTGTAAGGTTTCTCGCAGATGCTGGAATTGGAGCTTTTGGTTTTGAAAAAACAAACAAACTCCAGCTTTGAAGCACATAGAAAAATATCACGTGGGCTTTGGGAAAAGGGAAAAAAAAAAAAAAGAGAGAGAGAAAAAAAGCCAGCTGTCGGGGCCTGTAGCATCCCTTGCCATTTGCCTTTCAAGTAATAACCCGAGTGCGTTTGTTCCGGGCAGGGGTGGTGGAAGGTGTCCTTGGTGTGACAGCAGCAAAAGCAGGATGGATTAAAGGCTGGCAGTACTGTGTCGGGGATGTGTGTGTGTGTGTGTGTGTGCACTCGTGTGTGTGCGAGTGTCACTGCCCTCTGCCGATAGACACTTGCAGGCACATGCGTGCCTTTAAATAGGGATTTTTCAGGGTTTTTTTCCGGCTGAAAGCCTGAGAGACTTGCCTCTCTCTAAGCACAGGTCCCCCCGCGATCACCACCCTGTCTCATCTCTCACCTTTCAAAATTCAAAGTGTGAGCCAGCCCTGAACTTCCCTCGCCCCGTGTCCCCTGTGTCCCTTCCCTGTGGGATAGCCCTGGCACGTCCCTCCTTGGCCCCAGAAGACAGGCAGACCTTCTGGCTTTGCTCGGTTCCCTGTGGGCCTTGCTTCAGCGTGAAAATCCACAGCCCCTGGCTGCCAAAGACGCTTCCCCCAGCTCCCTTCCCTTACTCCTTGCATCCGTCTTGGAAACCGCTGCGAAAGAAACATTCTTGGTTTTCCCTGTCTTTCAGTGCCCGTGCTTTGGCCTGTCCCTCCCTCTCTTGCTCCGCATGGGGATGGCTCAGCTTTCGCTGAGGCTACCTTGCCTGGGACAGCTTCTCGTCCCCACCGTTCCAACCACAGGGCAGCTATTTCCTTTTGATTCCTGCTCTGAATTCTTCCTTACTTTAACGTCGCCCCAGGAAAGTCACCTTTTGGATGACTCTTTACCAGACAAGGGTGTTTTGCAATCATTTTCAGTGTCCTTTGTCTTGAGCTAGCACAGCTGCTTGCCACGGCAGGGTGCAGGTTGCCGGGGCCAATATTTGCCCCCTGCACAAGCTGCTGCTACGGCAGCCCGGAGTGGAGTCATCCTCTCCTATCCACAGGCTGATTCCAACTCTTTCATCCATCGTGCAACGTTAATTTACTCTTTGCTGCAGCCAAATCACTTTTAAAGCTGGAAAGGAAAGTCTGGAAGTATTTACTCGCCTCTTCCAGTGACATTCCTTGGGGT